GGCAGCCCAGGGCCCCTGTAGCTGCAGCAAGTGGGTCCTGCGCTGCTGTCCTCATCGCAGAAAAGCCCCCAGCTGCCCCCATGCAGCCGCACCGTCCAGGGATGTCTCCTTTAGAGAACATCCAGCTGTCTGTGATGATGGTGAGGGGCACATAGACGCTGAGGGGGACAAGGAGAAGGAAGGAATGGAAGACAACAGCTGAACAACGGAGGCCATGGGGTGGAAATGGTGTAGGCTTCAAGCCTCTGAAACCAACCCTCTGCAGCAGTCCATCCATTTATCTACCGGGTATATATTGCGCACCCACTGTGTTCAAAGCACTGAACTTGACATGGGGGCTCAACAGTAAAAAGGGGAACGCAGTCTTTATCTTCATGATTAAGAGGGCACAGTCATTATCTTCATGGAGTTAAGGTCCATGAAGATTTGTCTTATCAAATTAATCATTTTATTATACATGGTGATTAGAAATTACTATATGTTACTCTTTGCATATACATAGCCTTATAACATTTACATGTTTATACGTAACATCTACATATAACATTTTACCTATGTTATCCTGCAAACAAAGGTAGACTTCTACCTACTTTTTGTAGGTGAAGCAACTGCAGCCTGGACAGTTCAATGACACGCCCAGAGTCCGCATCTGGCAGGAGGCAGAAGCCCTACTCAAAAGAGGTTCCAATTCCATTGTTTCCTTGAATGTCTGTTTTGCAGTATTCTTGTGTCTTTCATTGTTTAGAAAGTGTGACCCTCTCTCTTCATGACAAACTCCTAATGAGATCACATAAATGTGAGATTCCAAAGAGCTGCCCTTCAGGGTGATGAGAGCTGTTGGGTGATGTGAGTCTCTTTTTGTGGGTATCTGTTCCCCGGTGAGAGGTCCTTGGTGCAACTGGGAAGGCTGGAGCCATCTGCACCGAGGAGGAGTAGAGGATCGGCTGCAGCCCTGGGTCTGGCAGAGAGCAGAGTCTGCAGGGCCATACCCAGAAGGAATAGCATCCATATATCCACCACTTTCCCTTAGTCAATGTCTCAAGCCCTCCTAGGAAATCCCTGAGAGGTGGTCATTTCCTCTTAGGTGGACTCATGTGGAATGGAGGGGCCCCAGGAATCCCAGCATCAACTCATCGTCCCTCTGGACAGCCCTTCTAGGGGAGAGCATTCCTAGGATTTAATCCACATCTATCTTCCTGCAGTTTCCCTCACTGGCCACATGGAAACCTTTTGAAGAGTGTAAACATGAGCTAGCCTCATTGTGACATCTTCACACCTTCCTTACCCGTTCCTAACTATCCTTTTAGGCCCCTCTCAAGTGTGTACATTACGTCTTCCACAGAGCCTGCCTTGACTTCACACCTCTGTGGAGAAGAACAACATACACAGTGTGTCATTGGTGGTGAGACCTTTGCAGGCAGAGGCTGACCTTCCTCACTGTGGCCACTGCACTTGTCTAATACCTGATTTGTGCTCATAATAAATGTTAGTTACAATAAAATTTTTTAAAATTGAAGACAGTTCTCATGTTCAGACCAATTGACTACTCATTTCTTCAGGTTCTACTCATTTATTTTCTTCTGGGCATTAGAAAAAAAAACCCTCCAAATTAAAAAAAAAAAAAAATTAGGGACAGGGTCTCACTATGTTGCCCAGGCTTGTACCAAACTCCCGACCTCAAGCCATCCTCCCATCTCTGTCTCCCAAGTAGCTGGTATTACACCTGGCCAAAATCACTTTTAAATAAAAATTTTTAGCCTTGCCAAAAGCAGAGCGAATTTCATCCCTCCTCTTCCATCAGCTTCACCAAGTTTTAATGTTTTCCAGGCTTATTTCATCTTGTCCTTGCCCTCAACATTTGTTTTTTAACTGGAGTGTTTTAAAACAAATACAAAGCTTCACACCAGTTTACCTGTAAATGTTTTAGTTTGAGGTCTAACAAATGAAGTTTTAAAAAGCATAACCACAATGTTATTATCACTCATAAGAACATATGTTTAAAAATTATGGGGACATATATATTTAGATATGCACAATGTATAAAATACATACATACATGTAATGTGGCAGGTAATTTATTTACGTGGAATTTCCTATGATAAATTTTTTAAGAAAAGTGGTTGGAGCAAGAAAAGAACTTACACTTCTCTTGGCCTCTGTATGCTTCCTTCCATAGCATCAAAGGGGGTTGATATGGGTTGACTGTGTCCCTGCCCAAATTCTCATCTCCAATTGTAATTTCCATAATCTCCACATGTTATGGGAGGGATCTGGTAGGAGGTAATTGAATCATGTGGGCAGTTTCCCCCATGCCATCGTTCTCATGATAGTGAGTAAGTTCGCACGAGATCTGATGGTTTTATAAGGGGCTTCCCCCTTCACTCGATTCTCATTCTTCTCTCTCCTGCTGCCATGCAGAGAAGGACATGTTTGCTTCCCCTTCCACCATGATTGTATGTTCCCTGAGTCTTCTCCAGCCATGCTGAACTGAGTCAATTAATCCTCTTTCCTATGTAAATTATCCAATCTCAGGCATGTCATTATTAACAGCATGAGAACGGACTAATACACTGGTCTTTGGAACTTGAGGGTGCAGCCATCATGAAACGGCCTGGGCTACCATGAAGGTGAGAGTGGATGTTCAGACCTTTACACCAAGCAAAAGAAGCTTGGTGGTGCATGTGAGACAGAGGCGTCAGGACGAGAGAAGGGCTGTGCAAGAGGAGCAAGCAGTGCAGGGGGAGAGCCAGGAACACGTTGGTGGGCAGGGCAGTGTTTAGCTGCTTCTGTAAACATGGAAATTTAGGGAGAGGGAAATGGTCTAGGGAGGATTTCTGAGAATCTGATACTTTTTAAGATGCTTGGGCTGTCCCTTGAAAAACCCTAGAGTAAAGATTCATGTTACTCAGATTAAGTAAGGCAATTTGACAGTGGGGATACAAGAATAGACCCTGGCTGGAATCTGGTTTCTTAGGCTTAAATTTTGGCTTTATTTCTTATTGGCTTTGTTACATCAGGGAAGTTACTCTCTTTTCATGTACCTTAGTCTTCTCACCTATAAAATACAGTAATAATAGTACCTTAGTTTTCTCACCTGTAAAATGGGGATAATAACAGTACCTACCTCATAGGATTATTCTCATGATTATACAAGGCTTTTTTTACAGGTAAAGTTCTTAGACCAATATCTGGCACGTAGTAAACCCTCAGTAAATGTAACAATAATAAATGTTACCATCATTTCAAGCATCTCAGTCAGTTTGTGCTTTCTTTAAATGTGGCTCAGAATATAGACAGGACCATAAGATATTAGATCTCATTAGAGCTACACATGTGTGTATATATATATATGTAATGACATGATATCTAGGCTAATATCCTTCACGTGTTCTGTTTAATTCATGTTGAAAAGATGCTACCATTTCAGATTTAGTTGTTATATCCCTGAGAAGCTTATTTATTTAGAGCTTAGACCATGCAAGTTTAAGGTAAAAGCCTTTGGTTGAGGAGACATCTATAAGCAGGGCTACTTGCTTTTAAAATGAAGCCTCTCTAGTCCCAGGTGATTATCAATTTAAGAGAGGAATTTTGTTCTTTTTATATTTTCTTATTTTCTTCTATTTTGTTAGAATCTGTACATCTAACACCTAGAGGAGAGTCTGGCACAGATGATATACTCCAAATGTGTCACCCTAAGAATGGCTGAGTAAATTATTGAGAGATTATTAAATAACCAAACCTCATTCAGACCTCAAAAGAGGTGCACGTGCACAATTTTTTTCGAGATGGAGTCTCGCTCTGTCGCCAGGCTGGAGTTCAGTGGTGTGATAGTGGCTCAATGCAACCTCCACCTCCCAGGTTCAAGCAATTCTCCTGCCTCAGCCTTCCAAGTAGTGGGACTACAGGCATGTGCCACCATGCCTAGCTAATTTTTGTATTTTTAATAGGGACAGGGTTTCACCATATTGGCCAGGATAGTCTCGATCTCTTGACCCCATGATCCGCCTGCCTCAGCCTCCCAAAGTGCTGGCATTACAGGCGTGAGACACCACGCCTGGTCATGTGCACCATTTCATAACATCAAACCAATGTCTCCAACATCAGCCTGTTTCTACTCTGCCTTATTGATCAAATTATGGTAGCCTAGGCCATGATCACCTCATTCTGGAAACTAGGCCCTTCAGAGAACCCCTCCCCAGGTTGTATGTGAGTCTCCTAAGGGGTCCTCCATGTGGCACATGCCAGTCTCCTGCCTCATTCCTCATGTGGCATCTTCTCCATTCTTCCTCTCCATATCTTTGTTGTACCTGTCAACAGATGCCAACACCCCTGGCAGGTGGACTGGCCTTGGATTCCTTCAAAGACTTCAGTCCCTAAAGACGGAATCGCCAAAATCCTTAGAGAAACAGAGCATGGTGACGTCGCCCCAACTCCGAACACACTTTTCCAGCTGGATTCTGAGGGAGAGCTGCTTGAGGACAGAGTTCTACAAGTTCTTTGGGACATTTTATTGTTCCCAAATCCCCTGGAATGTCAACGCCCAAATGCAGACTGCCAGCTGCACAGGTCACAGATGCTGTGGCATCCACCCTGTCCTCCACTTCCCTCCAGACCCAACCTTCTGTCTTCTCCTAGCATGAAGTAAGAGCTTCTGGATCTATAGGTTGGGTGGAAACATTCTGGGGGTGAGAATGCATGGAGGGGGTCCTCTCTTTCAGGACACAGTGCTCTAGTATGTGGGCCACAGTTAGTCTACTGAGCTTGTGTAAGTACATACAAAGCCAGTGCTGGGCACTTTACATATATTAGCTCTTATCATCCTCTCTGCAACCATATTTTGCACCCTGTATTAGTGAGGAAAGTGAGGCCCAGAGAGACTTGACCTCTTGTCCAAAGTCACACTTAATGGCAGGACCAGAATTCAGATCTAGGGCTGTCAAACTGTAAAGCACTGTTATTTCATGTGATTAGAAGATCTGAGCTCAGCTGCAGGAGGACTCTGGAGTCACATCTACTTATTGTCCATGGGGCTATAGCTGCATTCTTAGGGCCAGGAATGGGCAAGCCGGCCCAGCATGCCATTTCTGCCTCCCAGCTCTTTCCCTGGAGGCCTATCCTGGTGCCAGCTTGAAGCTCCACCTGTCTTACTCGGACTGAGTAGGCAGCTCCTTGGCCCACCATTCTTAACACAGGGACTTGGCTGGCTCCACCCCAATGGCGGGGTCTCCTCCAGCGCTGACCACACTTGCCGGTCTCTTAGGTCTGGCTGCACCCTCCTCCTCTTTCCCCGTGTGGCTCATGCTGGCTACTGGGCACTTCCCCATCCATGGACAGTTTGCAATATTGGCTCTCAGGTTCAAGTTCCTGAGCTTGTCCAAGAGCTCGCCCTTGGCCCAGGGTCCACTTGCTAGTCTGAGCTTCCAGCTCAGAGATCTTTATGACCCCTATCTGAGAGACAACAGTGCTTCCCAAGCTTTCGTGCCCACCCTAGGCCTCCCAATTCCTGCCATTGCTGGACTGCACTGGTAGGTGGGTGAGTGTGTAATTGATTCTAGCTCCAGGTTCCATTCCTCTCCAAGAAGCCCTGCCTGAGCTTGTCCATTTGGGAGAAAAGCCCAGTAGACAAGGCCTGCAAATGTCCTGCTGTTCGAGGTATATGCATGGCAATTTGGACAAAATTTTTCAGCCTCCTTTAGAGTCAGATCTGGGGGTCAAAGAATGGATCTACCCGCTGAAGAAGCCAGGAGGCAAGTTGAACTTGGCTGTGTGTCAGGAAGACTGGTCTCCACAGGTCAGCAAACACAAATGAAAGCAGGGAGCAGGGGATCAGCATGGTCTTTGGGTAACAGATTTTATTTACCATTTTACAAAAGAGGTTGATTGCATGCAAGTCGTAGGGATGCTGTATTTCCTGTGGAGGTCAAGCACTATCCAGTACAGCCCTCTCCTGAAACACAGGCTGGAAAGTAGCTGTTTGCTCAGTCTGGGCTCCTGGATAGCTAGAGTCCATCTCTTGCTTAATACTGTTCAAGTCAGGGACTGCAGAAGTCCCAGCAAGAATTCTGCACACTGGCATATCTCAGCAACACCTCCAAACACAGACTCAGAAATCAGGAGAGCCACATGTGCATACAGTCTCTTTAAATAAAATCACCAATGTATTCTAGAGGGGCTGTTAGTGAGTGGAGTCAAATGCCAAGAACCGTTCTACTTTTCCCTCTCTGTGCACACATCGAGATTTCCTGATAACAGGTTCCTTAAAGCAAGGCACAACCTGTTTGTATTAACCCCAGAGGCCTTGTATAACTTCTCTCCTAGGGAAGCTTGTCACAAGCTGACGTCTGCCCTGGCTAGACCAGATCCTTCCTACCAACCTGCTGTCTGGCCTCAGGCAAATCATTCCTCTCTTGGGAACTCATTTCCTTCATCATGGCAAATTGGAGACTTGGAACTCTGGTTCTCTCTGATGGTAGCTGGCCAGGACCGCAGTGGCGATGGGTAAGGGAAGAACGGCAGGAGAGGTATATGAGTCATGGCAATGCCATCATCCAGTGGTAGCCCCCTAAGCCCAGCAGTGCCTCCTGGGGTGCTTGGCAGAGTAGCTGAGGCTCCTAAGACCTTCTGGAAGAGCTGCACCTAGAGAACTGGGCTGCAGAAAAATACTTCGCATTCATGCTGCTTTGCACTTGGTTAAAGCCCTCATCACCATTATATTCCTCAGTCCTCACCCCAGACCTATAATTGAGGCAGACAGGACTCACTAACAATCCCTCTAGAATACATTTCTTCATTTACAGATGAGGAAGAGGATGATCAGTTAAACAGCTTTCCCAAGGTGATACGATGTGAGCAGAAGAGCTGGATAAGAAAGGAAGTCATCTCAGCCCTGACATTCATCTACGGCCCTGAGTTGTCTCTTTGAGGATGGCTGGTGGGGCAGTTCCTCAGAAAGGGGCCCTGACGCTCCTCTGGATGCCTTTAGGGTTACCTCTATAACTCCAGCGTTGACATTTCTGGACTCAGGGCAGTCCTGGCTGGAGACATCTGCCCTCAATCTTGGCAGCGTCCGTCTTCCGCCTCTGTGTCCCTGGTCCCTTGTGGGCATACCAGGGCCCACAGTCTTTGCCCAGACAGAATGCTCTCTTTCCAAAGGCATCCGGGCACAGTCCTGAAGTCAGTGTGTTTTCAGTGCATCTCTGCCCTCCCCTTACCTACATTTGTTTTCCTACAGCCCACGAGGTTTGCTGACCTCCAGCCTGAGACAGTGCTGAGCCTCCTTTTCCTGCTCCTGCTCTCAGCTGCAGGCATCGGGATCCAAATTCTTGTCAGCGTTGTTCCATGTGGCCAGGGACCTGCTGCTTGACTAAGGATGATGGGATCCCAGTAGGATCTGGGGACTGTGAGGTCCAGGGTTGGTGAATAGAAGACACATAGAGCTGCCTTCTTGTCAATTCCCAGCCCTGAAGAATGGGGGGCATTGTAGTAATGCCAAGGATTTGAGTAATGGGGAAGTATTTGCCAATTGCATCCTATAGCCCAAGCAATGTCTTGCCCAAGGCCCTGACCGGAGCCCTGTATATGGGAGTTACACCATTGTACAAAACAGGGGTGACTTTAAGGAAAAGAGGAAGGAGAGCATGGAGCAGCAGGGTGGTCGGGGTCGAGGGGAGGAAGGAGGGCAGACCATAGCACACACACTAGAAGTAAGCCTTGCTGTGCATACTCTTCTTTTCAAACTTTTGCTTGAGCTCAGAAATCAGAGTTGACTGGACAGGGCTCCCTATAGTTTTGGGGTTTGGTGGTGGTTGGGACTGCTGGGGGGTGAGAGAGCCAGAGACAGTAGGCACGGTCCAGTGGGCTGCGCCCGTGCTGGGCGCCATGCTGGGAGGTGGAGGGAGAGCTGGAGCTCTTGGGAGCAGGGAGCTTTCTGGGCTGTTGTTGTTGCAGTTCTCATTGGGAGGTTTCTCTTTGAGCACTAACTTGGTAGCAGCTTTGGCGCTCTTGGACTTGAGCCACTCAATGCGGATGGTGCGGGGCGCAGGGGTGGACCGCTTGCGGACCACCCGTCGCACTGGCAGGACCTTGTTAGACTTCTTGTTGCGCCAGAAGGTGGCAGTGGAGATGAGGACAGTGATGGCCACGACGGTGGCCATGGTGCCGGCCAGCACACCCACGGCCTTCATGGGGTTGTCCTTGGTCTGTATCAGGAAGGCAGCCATGGGGCTCCGGGAGAGGGTCTGAAAGAGAGAACCACCCCCTGCACTCAGCTGTTCCCACCTGGTCACTGAAGTCCAGAGTAGGGCATGTGCTTCCTTAAACCTAATGGTTTTTAAACTTTCTGGAGTCAGGAGTCCCTTTGAGAATCTGATAGGCACTATGCACTTGGGCTTTTTTTCAGGAAAATGCATACAGAGAGAGTATGATGCATGCAGCTCTCCAGAAAAATGCATGCAGAGACAGCATGGTGCAGACCAGTCTCTAGTACAATGTGCTCAGACAGCACATGCAAACAACCTCATTTGGATTCAGAACTCTGTCTTTAGCTGGACTCTGTTCTTGAGAGAGTAGGAGATTACCTGCCTTTGATTGTGGTAAGGAGTGGGGGGTCCGTCTGCCCAGATATATCAGGAACCTCTGAAGTGACTACTTTACTGTTAGACACTGAGCTGAGAGCTACACATAATGAATTCACTCTGCTTTTCAACACCCATGTGAAGGAGGCATCGTTATTTCCATTTTATAGGAAAGGTAACAGAGGCTTAGCAAAGCCCAAAGTCACACCATTAATAAGTATTGAACTAGAAACTCAACCTCCATTCCAAAGCCTGGATGTTTGATGGCACAAGCTGCCTTTGATAGCATTAAATATCTTTTTTTTCTTTTCTTTTCTTTTTTAAGATGGGGTTTCACCATGATAGCCAGGCTGGTCTTGAACTCCTGACCTCAGGTGATCCACCTACCTCAGCCTCCCAATGTGCTAGGATTACAGGCGTGAGCCACCGTGCCTGGCCAAATATATACCGTCTAATTTTCTTTCCTTTTTTTTTTTTTTTTTTTGAGACGGAGTCTTGCTCTGTTGCCAGGCTGGAGCACAGTGGTGCAATCTCGGCTCACTGCAACCTCTGCCTCCCGGGTTCAAGCAATTCCTCCGCCTCAGCCTTCCAAGTAGCTGGGACTACAGGCACGTGCCAAACGCCCGGCTAATTTTTGTATTTTTAGTAGAGACGGGGTTTCACCATGTTGGCCAGGATGGTCTTGATCTCTTGACCTCATGATCCACCTGCCTCGGCCTCCCAACATAATGGGATTACAGGCGTGAGCCACCACGCCCAGCCCATTGAGTGTCTTTCGGAGGAAGCCTGGAGATGGTACTTATCGCTTTGCCCACGTTGCAAAGAGGCCTGAGCTGGCCCTCTGACCCCTTTTTCCTGACCATGGCTTTGCACTCACCTCAGCATCTGTGATGTCAATTTTGAGTAAGGCCGTGGTGCTGAAGGATGGGGAGCCCCGGTCCTTGGCCTGTACCTCTAGGGACCATATGCAGTCCCTCCCGGGTGTGATGTTGTGCAGGGCATCCAGGGAGCGGATGGAATTCTTGAGCCAGATCTCCCCCGTGTGGGCATCGATATCAAACACATTGGCCGGCTCTGCATGGGTGATGGAATAGTCCACCAGGTTGTTGGGTTCCTCTGCATCCTCATCTATGGCCTATGCACAGGGAGAGACAAACAGAGCTGGGCTTTCAGGACCATCCTTGTGTACAATGGCTAAATCACCATGTCGTATGGGGCTTGCTGGGTTGATGGGAAATCGTCCTGATCCTATTTTGAGAGGATTGAGTTTGGAAAGGAATAGAATGTGTGCTCTCCTATAAGCCAGGGTCTATGTAGGCCTTACACATGTGCTACCCAGTTCCATTCTCAGAGCAAGTCCAGGAAGCAAATATTGGTGAATCCATATTACGGATGCAGAAATGAAAACTTAGATGTGAAGTGGCTTGCCCATGGATACAGAGGTATAAGAAGGACAGCCAGGATTCACAGTCAAGTCTGCCTGGTTTCAGAGTTCATCCTTAGAGCCACATTGGCAAGATGACAAAGTACAGTGAGAAAACCACTCTTTCGAAAGCAGGCAGACCAGCTATATAAAGGCAAGCCAAACACTTAACCCATCTGGCCTGTTTTTTCCTTTGTTAGTAGCACTGTCTTCTTTACTTCTGTGTTGAGGTGGGGTTGGGGATATATAAAATATCTTAAAGTTCCTTGTTCATCGTGGGAAGCCAATAAATTTTATCTTCAGTGAAATTCATATGCCCCAGTATCTGTTGCAGCTGCCAGACCCAGGCTTTTAGGGGAGCTCAGCTGCCTCTGAAACTCACCTCAATTTTCACTGGGGTCCCCAGCACCATCGTCTTCTTCTGAATGCTATTTCCAAACTGAGGGCAATGGTCATTGACATCTGACAGTGTGATAAACACCTCAGCTACGCTGTACTTGCCTTCCATATCCTCTGCCTTCACAAAGAAGTTGTACCTGGCAGTGGCCTCCGCGTCCAGGCTAGCCCAGGGCTGGGTGTAGATAAGCCCAGTGGATGGGTGGATCAGGAAGCTGCCAGGCAGAGAGCATAGGCGCGGGTGTGCATGCATACACACACATGTGCACACACGCACATGCCTGCAACAACGAGCTGCCTCCCGAATCAACAGTGAGGTGTCACGCAGCTCCTCCAAAGTGTCCCACCTGCTCCCTCCTATCCTTGAAGTCTAAGTAAGGTAGATCCACCTGTGGACTCACCCATCTGTCACTATTCAGCTTAACAACTCCAGTTGTAGTCTTTCTTTTTCTCTTCCTATGGCCTGTCCCCTCCCCAGCCAGTCCTGCTTGCCTGGCTCCTGAGGCCCTGGGCTCTGACCTTCTTTACCCTCTGCCTCAGCTTTCCACTTCCTCTCTCCAGTCCACTTCACCCAGGCTCCTGTCCCTCCCAGGTCTCTCCTGCCCCTGCCACAGACCCCCTCCACCCCCAGTCTTCCAACCCCCTTGCCCAAGGCTCTGTCCTGGATTCTGGATCTACTTACAGGTCTGCCCCAGTCCCATAGATGGAATATTTCACTTCGCCCCAGTGTCCTGTGTCTGGATCCACAGCCTGGAAGAGAAAGAGCTCCCGGTGGCATGTGCCTCTTTGTCAGGGTGTGTTGGCAGCTCCCAGGCCCTGAGGGTGGCTTTCAACCACAAAGCAAGGGGATTTGGGGTTTGTCCAACTGGGGAGAAATTGGTGGAGAGACCTGCCCGGGAGCCTTGGTTTTCCTCCAAGAAGTTTTAAGTGTTGAAATAGCCAAGAGATTTAGATCTGAAAAACATTCATCTCTACTTTGTAAATGAGGAAGGAAGAGGGGATGGGTCCCATGCCCTGTGCTTGCTATTTACACGTATATCCTCATTACAGTTCTGTGAGGTGTTGTAATCCCCATTGTATGGATGAAGAAACTGAGGCTAAGAGAGGGCAAGTATCTTGTCCAAGGACAGCTAATGAGTGTGGGCTTTGCCACTCAAACTGGAATTGACCTTCCAGATTGGTCTGGCTTCACAAGGCCCCCATCCCACCCCAGTTCCTGGGCCAGTCTCCAACCCACTGTGACAGCCACCACACTGGAGCCCCCTGGGGCATTCTCAGGAATCCTGGCAACATAGTAGTGGGAGTTGAACTTGGGGACATTGTCATTGGTGTCCAGGAGCTGGATCACAACATCCGCTGTAGAACTGAATTTCTCCGGGGTGTTCACTTCAACTGCCAGGAGCTGGGAAGGAAGGAAAATGAGGACTTATCTGGGTGGGCATTCACCTTGTGGAGAGCCTTCCCACCTCACCTCCCCAGGACTGATCCAGCTTCCATCTGCCAAGTCTCCCAATCTTCCTCACAGCTGCCAACCGGCTATGCCTGCCACCATCTGCAAGGATCACCTCTAAGGCCTGGCATCATCCTCTATCCCCTCAATTGGCTTGTAGTGCCAGTTTTCTGATCATTCCCATCTATATTGGAGTCAGTTTATTTTGTTCCACTGAGCTGCATATTCCTTTCCAGTTCCAATTGTCTTGACTATTTTTATAAGTTTATTGCCAGAGATAAAAACCAGTTTAATTTGTCAAAGCTTGTTGCCACTTGTCCAAAGGAAATTCTAAGGAAGAGTTAATTAGGGGCAACAACAACAAACGGGCTGGGCACGATGGCTCATGCCTCTAATCCCAGCACTCTGGGAGGCCAAGGTGGGCAGATCACCTGAGGTCAGGAGCTCGAGACCAGCCTGGCCAACATGGTAAAATCCTGTCTCTACTAAAAATACAAAAATTAGCTGGGCGTGGTGGCATGCGCCTGTAATCCCAGCTACTTGGGAGTCTGAGGCAGGAGAATCACTTGAACTCAGGAAGTGGAGGTTGCGGTGAGCTGAGATCGTACCACTGCACTCCAACCTGGGAGAAAGAGCAAGACTCTGTCTCAAAAATAAAAAACAGGGCTGGCGTGGTGGCTCACACCTGTAATCCCAGCACTTTGGGAGTCCGAGGCAGGCAGATCACAAGGTCAAGAGATCGAGACCATCCTGGCCAACATGGTGAAACCCCACCTCTACTAAAAATACAAAAATTAGCTGGGCATGGTGGCACACGCCTGTAGTCCCAGCTACTCGGGAGGCTGAGTCAGGATAATTGCTTGAACCCGGGAGGCAGAGGTTGCAGTGAGCCAAGATAGCGCCACTTTATTCCAGCCTGGCACCTGACGATGAAGGAAGACTCTGTCTCTGTCTAAAAAAAAAAAAAAAAAAAAAAAACAACAGCAACAACAAAAAACAAGTCCTGGCTCTGTTGCCCAGGCTGGAGGGTAATGGTGCTATCTTGGCTCACTGCAACCTCTGCCTCCCAGGCTGAAGCCATCCTCCCACCTCAGCCTTCCGAGTAGCTGAGACTACAGGCATGCACCACGATGCCTGGCTAATTTTTATAGTTTTTGCAGAGATAGGGTTTTGCCATGTTGTCCAGGCTGGTCTCGAACTCTTGGGCTCAAGCGATCTGTCCCACTCAGCCTCTGAAAGTGCTGGAATTACAGGCGTGAACCACTGGACCCAACCAAATTCTTTACTGACTTAAGGAGAATTCAAACTTTTTAAACAAGGTATGCCTTTTATGTCTCTTGCTTTCTTTATGCCTCTTTATAAAATTTTGCATTTTTCATCATTTGCATGATGCACATTTCTTCTTATGCTACTTCCTACAAATTTTATGTGTTGGCTGTCATTGTAAAAGAGAATTTTTAGTCTCATATTTTCTTATTATTTTCTGTATATAGGAAAGCTACTGGATTCGTGCATTAACTTTGTAATCAGCCATGTTAGCAATTTTGCTGTGTTTCTAAGAGTTTTCTTTTGTCTTTTCTAACCAAACAATCATATTATCTGTAAATAATGACTATCTTGTCTCCTCCTTTCTAAAGTTTGAACTTCTTATTTCCTTTCCTTATCCAGGAAGAATGCTATTCCAGGAATTCTGTTAAATAACAGCAGTGATAGCAGGCATCCATGCTTTGTTCCTAACTTCATGGATGGCTTTTGTAATAGTATTTCACTTTTAAGCATAATGCAGCCTAGAAGAGGACATGTGTTTATTTGTAGAATTATAAATAACAATTTTAATCATGTCAATGAAGTATTTCCTTTTCCTATGAACATATTATATATGTTCATATATAATATGCATTTCGTAATACCATTATGATTTTACATAATTATCAACGATATCACAGAAGTACTTTTTTTCCTCTTCTGCTAAGATTGTTATTGGGAGAGATAACAGATGTCAAGGCATATGATAAAACATCTATCTTGATCATCAAATAGATTTTCTCTGTCTATTAACATGGCAAATTATATTGGTAGTTTTCCTTTGATCCCACACCACCGCCTGCATTCCTGGGGCTGGTTGTGGTGTGTAAGCCAGGAAGCTCAGTGAGGCTGAGGCTGTGAGCAACCTGCAAGAAGAGCAGAGGGCTGGAGGAGAAAAGTGGAGGGCCAGGAAGGCCGGAGAATGACAAGAGACCCCTCAGGAATGAACCAAGATGCTTGTATGAATTCCTGGGGCCCTCCCATTCAGGGCAGTGAATTCAGGGCACCACCAACCTTGAAAGTTAATACTTTGGACTTTTCAAAGTCAATGGCAGCTGAGTTCTCCACAATAATCGTGACTTGGGCTTCATTCAGGACTGTCTGTGGAACCACTCGGAAGATGCCCCTGGCTCCCACCAGCTGCAAGTTGAATTTGGCATTGGCTCCCTGGAGAATTTGGAGAATGGAAACGGGGAAGATGAATGAGGATAGAAATTTATATTCATACTGCATAGAAGTCTTCACATGCCCTTAACCTGGGAGATATTAAGAGAGTTTCTGCATCTGACTTTTCCTTCTGAATGGATTGTGAGTGCCTTCAGGCTAAGCAGGTAGTCTTTGATTGGCTACTCTCCCTCCTCTCTCCTCTTATTGTTTCATTCCTTTTGTGGCCCACTTGGCCCCTGCTACATACACAGGGAAGGCTGATGCAGACCCACTTAGCTTTGGGACCTTGGCTCCCTGCGGTTTGCGGGAAGGCAGAGTGGAGGGTAGGACCACGCACCTGGTCAGAGTCATTGACGGTGATCTTGAGGCCCCTCAGTATCTCTCCCTGGGGCGGGTGCTCATTCATGGACAGCTCAAATCTGTTTTGGGGTCCACTCTCTCCGTAGAATGTTGGTGGGTGGTTGTTGAGGTCCACAATCCTGATGGTGACTGGGACGATGGCCTGGGCAGCTGGGCTGCCCACAGGGCTTATCTCGGTCACCTGGGATGGGGAAAAGTGGCTATTGCTGTGTGGCAGGTGTACCCTTCAGATGGTCCAGCTCCTACCTCCCTTGTATAATCCCCTTGGTTTGAGTGTGTCCTGGCCTAGCAACTTGCTTCTGAATGATAACATATGGCAAAGATGGTAAGCTATCACTTCATGATTAGATGACAAGAGATTGTAACTTCTGTCTTGTGAACTCTCTCTTTTGCTGGTTTTGATAAAGCAGGTAGCTACAGCTGACAGAGATGAATGGTGACCTCTAGCCAATAGCCAGTAAGGAGCTGAAGCTCTTAGTCCAACAGCCCACAAGGAACTGAGTCTTGCCAGTAATTGGGTGGGCAAGGAAACCAGTACTTGCCCAGTCAAGCCTGCAGATGAGACCCCAGTCCTGGCTGACAATCTGATTGCAACCATGTGAGGGACCTGGAGACCAAGGACCCAGCCAAGCTGAGACTGGAGTCCTGAACCACAGAAACTATGAGATATGAATGTGTATTGTTTTAAGCTACTAAGTTTGGGGTAATTCATTACACAGCTGATAACTAATACAGCCTACAAAGCCAGGACCAAGAGCCCCTAGGCACCCTGTGAACCATGTGGCAGATATCCTATAAGCTTCTTCAAGAGCTCCTTTCCCTTCTTCTGTAATCATGCTCTGGTCTTATGTATCCTAAAATTACCCTTCCTGGACTCCAATCCTTCACACCTTCACTGTTGTCCCTTTTGATTCTCACCCTATCCCTCATTCAGATACTTCACCCTGACTTCCACCCTGCATCTGGCACTGCTACTCTTTCTTCTTCCCAAGTGTTTTATTCCCGTGGCAATGTGACTCTGCTCTCACAGCTTCTCCTCAACCTCTCTAATCCCTCCTGGGTTTCCTTTACCTGCCCCTCTCCTCCTCCTCACTCTCAACCTCTTCACATAGCTCCCACAGCTGTGCTTGGTCGATTGTTCTCTCTCTTCTTCTTCTCTGGGTGCCTTTATTCCCTCCCACACCTTCCAGCTACCTGTAGGTTGACATTCTCTCCCACAGTTGCAAACCTGTATGGCCCAAGTTTTGATGTTTGAACTTGCATACCCCTCAGGCATTTGAATTCATCCTTCCTCACCCACTTCACTTGCCCTCTGTCCTGTACTCCTGATGGCATGGTATCACCAGGCTTCATCCATTCCTCTCCCATTCCTTACCCTCGAGGTCAGACGATTCCCTCATTCTGTGCAATCTGCTTCATGCATACTTTTCAATTTCTCCCTTCCTTCCATCCCACCTCTCCTCACCCCCATAGGCTCTCCTCCCCTGTTACTTCTCATCCAGTTTCCTCTGAAACCAAGTTGAGACCAGAGTTCTCAAATTCTGGCTGGGACTGGTGCCAGAATTACCTGGGTGCTTATAATATGCAGACTCCTGGGTTTGCCCCAAACATACTGAATTCCTACGCCCAGGAGTAGATCCTGAAAATCTTGGTTGGCCCAACTCTCCAAATTTGGGAACTCCACTGGTCTGGTGAGCAGCCAGGTGAACTCTCCTAGTGGCTGTAATCCTGCTGAAAACCTTCCAATGGCTCCTTATTGCTCTTGGACGGGACCAGCTATATAATTTGCCGGCCCAATGAAAAATAAAAATATGGGGTCTCTTGCTGAAAGAATTCCAAGACAGTCAACTTCAAGCACTAAGCTTAGTGTGGGACCCTTCTAAGTATAAGTCCCTGTGTGACTGCACAAGCCACACACCCAGCTCTAGAGACAAATCCCTTATATAATCCCCTCAGTTTCAGGGCCTTTGCTCCTCTGGCCCCAGCCTGAGGGTCCACCTTTCCTCCTTCTCCAGGCTGCCCATGGGCTCTCTGCTGTGGCCTCACCTGACTCCTTGTTGTTTCTCTAATACATCACTGCTCTTCCCTCCAGCCTGAGCTTGCTGCGTTTTCCTGGCTTGGTATGCTTTCACTCGGCCTCCACCCACCCAATGCCGGCCTCTGGCAGCATGCATCTGCGAGATCCCACCCATGCTCAGGCACTGCTGCTTCAGTCCCACCTCCTCCTGCCTTTCTGTGACTCCCTGTTCGTGAGTTCACGTCTGGTGCAGGTGCTCTTTGGAACAACATCTAGCCCCCTCCCCAGAATATGGGCCTCAGGAAAAAGGCCTGGGTCTCATCACTTTTATAGCCTTCTAGGACCAAAAGTGAGCAGGGAAGACAATGCTAGAGGGAGGGTACCTGTACATGCAGCTCATACACCTCTCTCTGGAGCTGGGCCGGGCTCTGCCTGACGGAGATGTCTCCAGACGTCTCGTTAATTTCAAAGGCTCCATCGCTCCCTGTCACAGAGAAGCACCCTGAAATTCTACACAGGGCCACGGGGAGGCGCAGGGGAGTTGTGTCAATGGAAGCTCCTCCTGCATTGCCTAGGAAAGCCTCCATAGAATGGAATCCTGTCATCCGTGTCTTGTCAACATGGAAAGAGTCTCAGAGGGGCTAAGTAACTTGTCTAAGGCTACACAGTCAGTGCAGATCTGGGACTTGAACTCACTTTTGTCCAGCTCCTAGGTTGCATACTGTGTCCCTTCTCTTATGCATAATACTAGATGTGTGTGCGTGTGTGTGAATTGTGAAGAAAAGAGAGGAAGCAAGGAGGACATACAGTGAGAGGAGGATTGGACACATGGACGGGGAGCAGGGAAAGGAGGGACAAGAGGGAGGGAATAAAGAGAGGAGAGGGAGGGTGTGGAGTGGGACAGGCAGGAGATGGGGTGGGTGCTCTGGGACTGGGTAAAGCTTTGCAGTGGTGATGGGAGGGAAGGCAGCTGAGGTCCCGTGAGGCTAGGAAAAAGAGGCTGGCAGGTTTGTCCACATGTGAGCTGCTGGAAAGTAAGTATGCACAGGCATGTAATAGAGGCAGGCTGGGGCATACAGACATGCACACATCTGGGACCGGGCACCAGGTGCGATGCCCTGGCCTAGTCCAGGGACAGCTCGGCTGGCTCAGTTCCTGTCCAGCTGTGGGAAGAGCACAGACTGTGGAGCTAGCAGGCTGAGGTTCAAATACAGTGACGGGAGCTTGGGATGCCTATTTAGCTTCTTCGGTTTTCTTGTCCATACACAGGGCTGCTTTAGGGCGCTGCCATATCATCACTGCACTTGATTCATTTAATTCAGCTATATGCTGTGGGATAACAATTAAAAAGGATGAGGAAATGCACAGCCACTTAAAAAGTGTGAGAAATGTTGCCACACGTTCCCATCAAGGAGCAAATACCCGCGGGAGAGGAGCATGGGCCAACACCTCCGTGTTGCTCTCAGCGCCCTCGCCCATGCTCTCCCAGCTCCTGGGTGTCATGACAGGCAGGGGACGAAGCACACAACCCAGAGACTTCCTTGTCTTGGGCCCTGCCCTTCCTCTCCATACATCTTATACTCCTGGTCCTTCAGACGAGGGAGCTGGCATCTAGAGAGGTTGGGGAACTTTGCTCTGGCCACCTAGACAGTCAAAGCTGCAGCCCCCAAAGCCGCTCAGACTCACCGTTCATGAGGCTGTAGATTATCCGATTGGGTTTGCCCCGGTCTCCATCCATGGCGACCACCTTCAGTACCTCCGAGCCCTCGGGGAAACAGGAGCAGCTGCTGCCTGATGGGCAGCACGAGGGCCCTCCCCTCCCCAAACAATCTCCCCATGATAAAAAAGGAGGTGCTACCCCCACCCAGGAAAAGAGCCAGGCCTCTGTGTGGTCGTGCAGCATGACACTGCTCTCCTGTGCCGAGGGCTAGATGCACTCACTGACCTCCGGAGCTGGAGGGATAGCCTGAGGCCCCACTGCTTCCTCGCCGGTAGGGGAGGAAGCCTCCTTTTCCTAGCCTCCAGGCTCCCCAAGGATTCTCAGGCCTCTTGCACCAACTTCTGGCCCACAGGCCACACTCAGCCCTTGCCTCTACTGCTCCCCGCTTTTTAGCCTCACTCTCACTGCCACCTCTATCTTTTGCTTTCATCCCGCCCCAGAGGTGCATGAAGGGAGAGGGGAAAGACAGGTGGGAGAGAGACCAAGCCTCATATGTGAGGTCTCAGAATTCAGATTTTATCCTGTGGGCATTTGGTGCTGCTACAAGGGTTTGGGGTAGGGCTGCCCCAGCTGTGTAAGTCTTGCTTGACCTCTGGCTGTTGTCCCTTCTTCAGCCCCCTACACCAGCCCTTCTCTCTGGTTGACTCCAGGCTACTTCTTAACCCGGCACAGATGCTGCCTCCTTCCTTGGAGCCTGTCCTGAGCCCTGTCCCTCAGCACCTCCTTCTCCTCTTAGCTCCTCAGTGGAATGGCCTGGGCCTCCCCTGGCCCACCCTGCAGGCCCCACCCAGGGCAGCCCAGCAGCTCTCTCCCTCACTTTGAGCTTGCCTTCACCACTGGGTCCTCAAAAACTGTTTCCTTTTGCTTTATAAAGCAGAGAATAGACCAGATGCATTGGCTCACGCCTGTCATCCCAGCACTTTGGGAGGTCGAGGTGGGTGAATCACCTGAGGTCAGGAGTTCCAGACCAGCCTGGCCAACATGGTGAAACCCCTTCTCTACTAAAAATACCAAAAATTAGCCAGGTGTGGTGGCTCACGCCTGTAATCCCAGCACCTTGGCAGGCAAGGCGGGTGGATCACGAGGTTGGGAGATCGAGACCATTCTGGCTGCCCAACGTGGTGAAACCCTGCCTCTACTAAAAATACAAAAATTAGCCAGGTGTGGTGGCACGCCACCTGTAGTCCCAGCTACTCAGGAGGCTGAGGCAGGAGAATCGCTTGAACCCAGGAGGCAGAGGTTGCAGTGAGCCGAGATCGTGCCAGTGCACTTTAGCCTGAGCAACAGGGCGAGACCCTGTCTCAAAAACAAAAACAAACAAGCAAACAAAACCAAAAAATTAGATGGGCATGGCGGTGCACACCTGTAGTCTCAACTACTCGGGAGGCTGAGGCAGGAGAATCGCTTGAACCCAGGAGGCAGAGGTTGCAGTGAGCCCAGATCACACCACTGTACACCAGCCTGGATGACAGAGTGAGACTCTGTCTCAAAAAAAAAAAAAAAAAAGTCCAGAATAATCAGACAAGTGCAAATTAAGAATGCAATTCAATTGCATAGAGTTCTTAAGCTGTGGCCTAGAGAACAGGCTGGAGCCAGGCCTCTGCGCAGTGGGAGCTCATGGTCTAGATAGGGGAAAAAGGGCCAGTTCATGGCCTGAGGCTGGGTGAGTCCACAGAGCTGGCCTCTGTGTGAGGAGAGTGACCAGGGCCAGCCCAGTCATCTCCAGCAGGGGGTCCTGAAAATCACAAGGGTCAGGGCAGGAGGCATCTAGAGGGGACGCTGGCTGAGGGGCACAGCCACCCACCGGAAGGGTGTCCTCATACACGTAGCCATAGTAGGGTGTGCCCACGAAGACAGGGGCCATGTCCTGAACATCCTCCACGTTGACCGTGACCGTGGTGGTGGCTGAGAACACCACGTCAGCCCCATGAAACCTCCCACCGCCATCCTGCAGAAGAATCGAGGCCACAGAAGGAGAGTGAAGACAAGTTGGGATGTGGAATTGAACAGAACCCATGAGAACCTGGCTCCTGCCAACTTATGGCTATGAGGCCAGCTGTCCTCTCCAATTTTCTGTTTGCTCCTGTGTCATCTGGAGAGACTTCTCTCACAGGGGTGCTGAGAACATTAAAGTGCCACCATTCCTTTGCAAGTGGGGTTAGTTCTCTCTCCAGAGAAATTATATCAGATGGGTGGCAGGAGAAAGGCATGCAGAACTAAGTTCCCCCTGCCAGCCAGGAACCAAGCCTCAGGCACCTCCTGAGGACCTACATAGTCTGTGCGTGGCCTGCGCTGAGTGCCGGGGGCCCACAACAGCAAGACTTGGGCCCCTCACCGAGCATCATAGCGGAGATGTGCACCCAGCCCAGCCCGTGCAGCTATGGGCAGGTGAGGCTAACTCGGGCCTCCTGGTGCAGGCTGCAGTGGGATGGCCCGTAGCCAGACTGTGACCAGCAAGGGCCTGCCTGCAAAAGAAAGTGCTGGGCCTAGAGGGACAGCTGGGGTTCTGCACTCTTTGCGGGGGAAGAAGCTTCTGTGAGTACCTGCTGGCTTCCAGTGTTTCCCACACCATGCATTTCAGAAATATGAGAACTTTAGTTGAGTTTCCGGGGGGGAGGCAGATGAGGAAACTGAGTCTCAGAAGGGGTGACTGGTCATATAGAGAGGAGGAAGTGGGTGAGCAAGCCTGGCCAGCAAGATGGAGGTGCCCGGAGGCCATGCTGTTGAGGATGTGAGGTGACGCCATTCTCTTGGCCATCCCACCTGGTCCTACCTAGGGGATCCTGGCTCGTTAGTTTCTAGGAGGCATATGCCCTCCGAGAGCCCACAGAGCCCAGCCTCCCTGGAGAATATGTCCAGGCAGAAAAGATTCCAAGCAGCTGTGCCCTATCTCCCCACACCCACCATGTCTCCTGCTCTCCATACTGCTCCCCCTCCCCTGTAGAGCCTACTTGGTTCCAACCCAAGGGCTGAGGAGAAACTAGATGCTCCCCTGTCCCGCTGTGTTACCTTGGCGACCACGGTGATGTAGTGGGTCCGGGACCTCTCGTAGTCTAGAGTGGCCTCAGGCTGGAGGCGCAGCACACCGCTGTGGCGGTCCACAGCAAATGGGGAGTGTAGGTTCTGTAAGAATTAGGAGGCAGCTGGACCTCAGGAAGAACCCAGGCCAGACCCAGGAATGCCCGCTCTGCTTTCTGAAGGGAGTCTTCACTGCCTCTTGTCACAGGACCTTAGGGCTGAGGTTCCTGCTTCAGAGCACTCAGCTTTTCTGGTCCCAGGTTCTCCTTCCTAGGACTGGGGGCTTTCCCTCCCACACTCTCAATTAAAAACACAATGTTCCCTTCTGGGCCTTTGCTTTTCTTCCTGCTCAGCTGGAAAACCAGTTTTCTTGGCCTCCTCTTTGGGCTAAGCTCTGGACTGGAGGGTCCAGCAGGTGGCAACGTCTGCAGAGTAATCTAACCTGGAGGCGGCCAGGGCTTAAAAGTCACAGTGAGGGAAAGAAACGTTGGGACCTTCAACCCTACAGCAAACAAGTGACTGCAAGCCAGTCCGAGGCAGCCTGGCGTCAGGGGAGAGGGTGTGCAGCCTAAAGGAGGCTGGCAGGGAGCACTGGCCTCTGGTGAGGTCCCGGGGGCCCTTCTGTCTGGGTAGGGTCAGGCACTGGTGCCAGGTGCTGTTATTGGGGCTTTACATGTATGTAATCTTCACAACAATGCAACAAGGATGTGTTTTTCTCTCTCCCATGTGATACATGAGGAAATTCAGCTGGGAAAGTTAGATAACACGCTGAGGGTCATGTGAAGGGTGAGGGGTGGGGTCTCTCCAGCACCCATGCAGTCCAGGGGACTTCTGGGCCTGTGTTATTAGGGGCATCAGAGCTCTGCTTCTCTTGAGTGTTGCCCCTTCTGCTCTTTTTTCTATTGACCATTCTGGGCCAACACAGGGCTCTCCACCCATGTGGCAGCCCCTGCAGAAAGGGCTGGGGATGTGGAGGGCTGAGGGTCCTGGGACATGGAAAGAGGGAGGGGTCAGGCTGACTTAGAGGAAGCCAGGATGGGCCCATCAGGGAAAGAAGGCTTCTGTCCCTCTCACATCCCCTCCTGCCCATCCCAATTCTCGGTGGACTCCTTGGGAATCATAGAGGCACCAACCTAAAGGCCTGGGTGATGGAGGTAGGGGCCACCCAGGTGTCCCCTCTGGCCCAGCCCCAGGTTACATCCTGTATGCCCCACCTTACCTGCAGGAAGTAGGTGACACTCCCTCCAGAGCCTGTGTCCCTGTCCACGGCATGGACCTTAAAGATGCTGCTCCCAGCAGGTATGTCCTGAGGGGATCACAGCCACAGGGGAGGGTCAGACAGTGACAGTGTTCTCAGGGGGACAGAGGCATATAGAGGGGTCAGGGGAGTGAAGCACCAAAAAGAGGTGGACAGGTAAGGATAAAGGGTGTGAGCACCCAACGGGGGCAGCGGCTCAGAGGGGGTGCAGGAAAGAGGGAAAGGGAAATTGGAGCAAAAAGATGTAGTGAGGGGCTGGGGGAGGGGCTCGAGGAGAGAGGGAGAAGAAAAAAACAAGCCTCCAAACAGATAAAGGGTCTACCTATGAAATAGCAATTTATAAAGCAGGAAATGATTCCTAACCACAGACACATTTAGAATCACTAGGGACCATATACCTACATTTTAGAGAAAGAATGTGACATCTTTCTCCTATTGAATTAGCAAACTTTTTTTTTTGAGATGGAGTTTCGCTTTTGTTACCCAGGTTGGAGTGCAATGGCATGATATCAGTTCACTGCAACCTCTGCCTCCTGGGTTCAAGTGATTCTCCTGCCTCAGCCTCCTGGGTAACTGGGATTACAGGTGCCCACCACCATGCCAGGCTAATTTTGTATTTTTAGTAGAAACGGGGTTTCACCATGTTGGTCAGGCTGGTCTCGAACTCCTGACCTCAGGTCATCCATCCGTCTTGGCCCCCTAAAGTGCTGGGATTACAGGTGTGAGCCACCACACCTGGCCTGAATTAGCAAACATTTTAAACTTTGAGAATCCAGTGTTGTCAAGGGGCAGGGGAAAAAAACCCTCCCGTTGTGGGGAGGGAGCCCAAAGGTGCCTTCTGGAAAAGCAATCTGGCAATGCCCCGTGGGCATATGTGCTTTTGATACAGTAATTTCAAATCCCAAACTGTATCTTAAGGAAAGAATCCTAATTAACAGAAAACAAATGGATGCTCAGAAGTTGATGTGTCTCATGACAGCAAAATTTAAAGCGCCTTAAATATCCAAACATCAGGGAGGGGACATTCTGTAAATGATAGATCGTTCACTTGATGAAAGCTATTAAAACAGCAGATACCCAAACCTAACAATTAATGAGGAAAATGCTTATGTTATATTAAGTGCAAATAGGATACTGAAAGCATACGTTTAGTATAATCACAACTAATCAAACAGAAAAAAAACCAACAAACTCTGTAATGACAAGAAGACTAGAAGGAAATACACCAAAATTTAACAATGTCTCAAGTTGGAGGGAGTGAGGGTGATTTTGAAAACTCATTTTCCTTACTTTTCTACGTATTTCACAATTCTACACTAAACACATATTATGACTACAATGGAAAAAAGCAAATGAACATTCCTTTGGAATAAAAGTGAATGTGAGAGGGAGAAGGTGGTGACAGAGAGGCTCTCCACAGGGCCGTGAGCCATGGCAAGGCCACAGGGCAGCCCCAGGGGTAAGCTATGGGCCTGGGTGGAAGATTTGGCCCCTCCAGCGGCTCCTCACTCACCTCGGGAACCAGGACGACATAAGGCTCCTGAATGAACCTGGGTGCCTCGTCATTGGCATCAGTCACCAGGATCACAACTTTTTCAGCCACCTGAGAAGGGGCAGAGGGATCAAGAGCCAGTGCAATGCGACCTTCTGAGGGATGAATGGATAGCAACCTCTAACGCTCCAAGGTACGTGTCTCTTCCCATCCCTCCTCTCTCTCTCCCTCCCTTCCTTCTTTTACTCATTCATTCAACAAACATTAAGCAGCCTCTTAGTGCCAAGCACTGTGTTTCATCCTGGTGACAGAAGACAGTCTGATGGCGTGTTATTTTGCAGTAGTCATAGTGGCTGGGATATCAGGGCAAAGATAAGCATATTTAAAAACACGTTGTATCTCCTCAAGGTGATAGCAGCAGTATGTCAGGCACTGGGGGCGGGGCCCTGCACTGCACCAGCACACACACATGGCCTGTGTAAATGCATTCGTTAGGGTTGGGAGTGCCTGGGCTGTGATGGCAGAGAGCAGGGAGGCTTCTCAGAGGAGTGAGAACTAATCCCTGAGGGAGGTTTGCCAGGAGGAAAGAGGTAGAAAGGCGTGCCAGGATGAAGAGGCTGCATTGTGCAAAGGCAAAGAGGCATGCGTGGTGAGCTGAGAGAGCGGAAGTAGATTTATGTCTAGATTATGGCCTGGGTGGGGCGGATGTGGGAGAAAAGGCAGTGAGGCAGATGGTGCCCAATGGGGAGGCTTGGAATGCCAGACTGAAGCTTGGTTTTCATCCTGCCAGTGGCAGAGGCCAGCTGTTAGCACTTTCTGAGCCTCGGAGTGGGCAGGTCTGACTGGCCCATAGCGACAACTTCAGAGCCAATTGGGGTGGGGAAGCCTGGAGGCCAGTGAGCCCCTGGGGTTTGTTAGGCCATCCAGGGAGCACTGATGAGCACTGAGAGAAAGTAGTTGCTGTGGGGTGCCCAGGAGTTCATCTCAGGTGACTGAGCAGGAGGCCAAGACCCAGGTGGGAGAGGCAGATGGGAAGGGTAAGTTTCAGGAGATGCTGTGGAATGTGGGTTAGACCCATTAGAAGCTCAGCTCAGACAGCCTGACCTCTCCATTCCTTCTTTTCCTTCCTTCCCCTCTGGCCTTGCTGCAGCCCTCTCCTGCGGGCACTTTGGGCAGGTCTTGCTGGGCCCTGGCTTAAACTTAAAGAAAAGCCCCATGAAGGCTGGGGGAGGAATCGTACCGGCCTCACCCAAATGCTGCAGACTGCCAGAGACTGCCTTGGGCATGCACTCACCAGATTCAGGCCGTCAGAAATGCTGATGACGGCTTCAATCTCATCCTCCCTCTGTGAAGCAAAGGGACAGAGTGAGTGAACAGGAGTCTGACACGCCATGGGACCCCCATGGCTGGGTGGAGCTCTCCCTGCCCCATGAACTCATCAGAGGAGGCCTGGGCATGCCAACAGATCCCTGGAGCAGGGTGGGTGGTGGCAGCAGCATGCCTGGCAGAGTAGAAAGCTGCCTCCCCCCATGCTAGAGACCTTGTTTTGGGACTTTTGTCTCTGGGGTTCTTACAAACCCAGAGACCCAGAGGATCTGTTGGGATTCCAACAGAAAATACTCTCCTGTCACAGTGAGGAGAGACGCCGACCTTAGTGTGCTCAAGGTCCCATGAAGACTTTTCCTCTTTCTTTTCCTTTTTCTCCCCTTCTCTCTCCACACCTCTCCACAATCCAGGGCTCTGCAGAGGCTCACATCCATGGTATCTCAGTGCTCCCCAGGATACAGTGAGACCTCAATGGGGAGGAGTATTGGAGGTCGCCAGATCCCGTGGGTGCCAGGGAGTGGGGTACTGGCAGCACAGTCGGGCTCCACTGCTGTGTCCCCCAGCAGTCCCTGAGACCTCCCCTTCCTTTCTCTACCCTGTCCTGCAGCTAGTGGATGCTGTCACCAGAGCTGGTAGCATCCCCACAGCAGAGACCCAGTTAGCCATACACCAGGTTGGTGTGCAATCTGAAAAATCCCATACCTTGTCACCTGCAAGTTCCAAGGGGGGAGAGGGGAGGAGCCCTACCAAACTCAGACTCACTCCCAACCAGCCTTTCCAGCCCTGACCTGCTCTGAGTTCCTGTGGTTCATAGCACCTTTCCAAGGACAGCCTTGAAAAATCACTTTGTGAGGTTTCTTTCAGAAACCTCAAAGTGCAAACAGATTTATTTTTAATGGAACATGCTTAAAAGATGAGCAGGGCTGGCAGGTGCTCATCAAAGGAGCCCACTGTTCTGTCTGTGTGAACCAGGAGCATGAGAGTAAAGCCCGCTCTGCTGATGGGAAGTGGCCCAGAGATCCCACAGAGCGGATGTGCCCAGGTGTGCCCCTCATCCCCTACTCTGCAAAGAGGTTCTAACCAACGTGTTCTAGGGGAACTTCAGCCCACCAAGGTCTGTCTGCAGGCAGACACCCCTCAGGACTTCCCACACCTCCCCATACCTCTCTGTCCAGTTCTTCAACCAGGGTGATGTTTCCAAAAGTTGGGTCAACAGAAAAGACGCTTCTAGCGCTGGGGTCAAAGCTGATGTGGTAGGAGATGGGGTCTCCCTCAGGGTCTGTCCCATTCAGGGTGTATACATGAGAGCCTGGAAGGAGACACAGTGGAGAGACATAGAATCTTGCTCAGGACCAAGGATTCAGCTGCTTATAAGGTGACTATTCAACTCAATGCCAAAGGTACCGCCCTGAACTGGGCTCTCACTGCTGGCCTCATCCCTGCTGGCTGCTTCTCACTTTGTATCTTTATTCTTCACAGCGGTTAGATGTGATGATCAGTCACTTTCCAGACTGTAATCTCTAACACCAGTTACAGAGCAGGTGCAGGTCTTCTGTGCCTAACTGTAGCGCCTGTGTTCTGCTCTGCCTGGTAATAACTCCTTTCTCAGGATCCAAGATTGAGGGGTTCCTGGGTATAGGGAAGGGGAAATGGGAGCAGCCATTTCCCCTTTATAGACTTCTTTAGAGAAGTCTATTGTGAGAACAGCAGCAAAGTGATGGTGCTAAGCCATTCGTGAAGGATCCACCCCCATGATCCAGCACTTCCCACCACCTGCAACATTGGAGATTACAATTGAACATGAGGTTTCGGTGGGAAAACAGATGCAAGCCACATCAGTTGATTAACTCCCAAACTTATTTTTGGTATTAATTTTGTATTAAGAAGGTCTATATGTCTCCTTGGAGATAATGATACTCTTCTTTATAAAGTACTTCAAGTGATTTGATATATGTAAATAAATATCAAGCATATTACCCTCCAAAAAAAAAAAAAGAAAAAAAAAAAAAAAAAAACCATCCCTTTGCTGCTGTTCTCACAATAGACTTCTCTAAAGAAGGCAGGAGGGGTGACCCACAGTGCACCATTGTCCCCGATGCCTGGACAGTGTTCTGCAGGGATTTCTGAACCCGGTGCCTGTTTTACTCTGCTCCTCCTTTCCCCGAGACCCCAATGCCCACAAAGTAAGAGAAAGGGAATGTGAAATCTCTCCTTTCTCCTCCCCTCTCTCTGCATATCTCAGCAAGTTGGATGTTCTTATGCTGTTTTAAAGCCTAGATACCTGGGGCTCAGGGAGGTGAATACATTTGCTCAAGGTCACACAGCCATAACCGGTAGCACCTTACCGCCTGCTTCCTACAGCTGCCTGTCTCAAGGAGCCACCCTATCTCTGGGCGGGAGCCCTGGTCTCCAGGACTGGCCAGGCTTAAGTCGCCATGGCAGCGATGACCTTCTTTCCTGCCATTCCCCGGGGGAATTCGGATAGAAAACAGGGAGCTCCCGGGCGTGCCCAGCAACTTGGCGCTGGCCGCGTATACAGGCTCGGGTGAATCACAGGCTTGATCCCTGAGTCCAGGGGAACTCGAGCCACCCCTCAGGAAGACCTGTCGGGAGCCAGTGCCAGGGCTACTCACCTACAGGGGTGTCCTCTGGGAGGCTGAACAGAGCCATGTTTCCGTTGGTGCTGCCGACCCCATTGTCGAAGAAGTGCGGAGCGAAGTTGGCCTGGGCTGGGAGAAGAACACAGAACAGACGGACACTCAGACACCAGGAGGGAGCTTCGCACCAGCGCGGTCCAGCGTCAGGCCCCGCTCCTGGGCAGCAGGGCGCTCGGTCTCCCCAACCCAAGTGCACTGAGGATGGGGCGCCGCCCAGAGGATGCCCCTCACTCCCCAGTCCACCTCCAGTGGGCTTGGGCTTGTCAGGGACACGTCGCAGGTGGGCGCTGAGAACCCAGGTAGCAACCTAACCCCGCCTTCATCAATGGGCAGATTGCACCTGCGCTCAGAGACGGGTAGTGCCCCAGCCAAGGTCACGCCGCGAGCCAGGGCACTATCCCCTGCCCCACGCAGCATCGGAGCTGCCACCAAGCCTCCAGCTCTGCTTCCGAACAAGTGCAGAGCTGCGGGGGCCCGGACGCCAAACCCCGGGGCTCCAGGACACCAGCTCTGGAGAAGCGCCCGGGAGTGCCCCACTCCTCAGCTACCCCACTACCCACTACCGAATGTGCCAGGCTGATGGAAGGACTTCCTCGCTCCCTCCCACCAGCCCGAGTCCCACTCTGGAGTGGTCCAGGACCATGTCCCGGTGGCCACCTGGGTGGCGCCGGCGCCCACCCCCTTCGCCGTCCACGCGGCCGGCGGGGACCTGCGGCCACTCACCCAGGCAAAGGCGCAGCAGCCCCAGGGCCAGGGTGGCCCACCAGCCGCGCCTCATGTCTCCGCCGGCGCGGAGCGTCGCCTGCCGCTGCCGAGGCCCGGCGCAGGGGCGCGGAGCATGCCCTGGGCCCGCGGGGAGTGCAGAGACGACAATGGGGGTAGCGGCGGCGGCGGCGGCAGCCGCGGCGGGAGAGGGCGCGGGGCGGGAGCGGCGGGTGGCGCGAGGGCGCTAAGAGGATGACACGGCTCGGATCCGCTCCTGCCCTGACGAGACCGATTAGCTGCGTAGAGCGGAGGGACCAGCTCCCAGCCGCGGGCGGGGGCAGGGGGGCGTGACCAGAGGACTCCCCGCCCACCACGCCCCCTTAGCCCGGCGGCCGGGGTCCCCGACAGGACATTGTTGAAGAGTGGCGTGTCTTTCCCCCAAGGGTCCTGCGCAGGGCACTGGAAAATTGGGCTTTCCCAGGGTCCCTAAGTCCTGGTGGGGCTCGGCCTTCGCAGGAGTTTTTTTCCTCATGAACTTCCTCTGTGACTTTCAGTGGCTTAGCCGTCCTCTCTGAGCTAAGCGTTCCTGAAGAAAAGTTAGCAGAGCCACCGGGAGGGCCTTGCCTTAGCAGCCTAAGCAGGGTCCATGTGCCGCGTGAGACCAAAAACTAAGAAAAAGGGTGATGAGTGGGCAGCAGATGGTGAGGGGTTATCAGGACTCCTTCTCTGCGATCTCAACCCATTCCTGCCCTGTCCCTGACGATGGACCAGCTCTCCCAAAGGGTCTGATCTGTGTGGTGGGCAGCAGGGAGGACTCTCAAGTCTCCACCAGGGTGAGAGGCAGTTCTGCTCCCCATCCCCAGTCAGTGCCCAGTCTGGGACCATGATGGAGCGGCTGACCCACTTTTCAAACCTTCCAAGGAGGAGTGAAGGGCTTGAAGGCAGAGTTAAGCCCCCTCTCAGGACAGACTTGCACAGAGCTGGCCAACATAGATCTGAATGGCCCGGGAAGCCTGAGCTCTCATCCCTAGAGGATATTTACACAAAGCAAGGCACTGCTATTGGGTCCTGGATGCTGGTAACCTGGAGACACAGGTAAGCACAAGAACCTTTTTGGTTGCTGGTAAAGCTCCCTGGGCCAAACCCTCATTCTCCTGTTCTGACACTGGAGCATGCTTGGAAATGCAGCCTGTCCTCCTTCTCCTGGTCAGGCTATTTATGGGGAGCACAGGGTGGTCACTTCAAGCCCAAGCCAGGTCACTTCCCAGGATGTCTTTGGGCGGATGTGTTCTCAGATAGAGGATACCCCTCTGTGTGCTCCCAGGAGAGGTCCTCACAGCTGAGGTCTTAGCATTTCCCCGCAGCCCATCCCTTTGAGGTAACACAGCATCCCCCAATCCCCTGGTCTAGCCCTCCTTGATTTACTGTGAACAAGGGTCAGGGGTTGGCAGAGAAGAGGAATCGGTGGTCTTAGAATGTGCAGCAGTTTTCAGGCCTAACTGGCCGAAACCCTTCTTGTTGAGTTTCCTCGGGCTTGGCTTTTTTGCTGAAAAGACATGCTTTAAATTGCACAGACATTTCTGAATCTCTGCTTCACAAAACGCTGAGACAAAGCTAAGGCAAGCATTCTGCAAGTACCATATAGGGATGCAGAGACTGAGGCTTGCTGTGGATTTCCCATGAGCCAGAGGCAGAGCCAAAGTTTCCAGGAGCAAATGTCTTGGTGTGCTGAGAAGAGCCAGCTCTCCCTGGGTCTTGTTAGCCCTGCTCCTCACCAAGAGATTCTAGGGCAGTTGATTTCTCTCTCCTCAGTTCCCTCAGTCAACAGCCATGCACTGGAGAGGGAATGGGAAGGAGCAGCATGCTTGCCATGTGTTGGATTGCGCTGACGCATATTCACCCTTATTATCTTATTTGACCTACACCTCTCTCCCAGTGTGATTGTCTCTGCTTTACAGAGGAAGGAGATGTCCTCATTGGCTGTGTGAGCCTAAGCAAGTGACTTATCACCTTTGAGGAGCAGAGCTTGGATTCACATACAGTCTGGGCCGGCTGCAAACAAGGTTCAAACTCTTTTTTTTTTTGAGTTGGAGGTTCACTCAGTCACCCAGGCTGGAGTGCAATGATGTGATCTCAGCTCACTGCAAACTTCGCCTTCCGGGTTCAAGTGATTATCCTGCCTCAGCCTCCCAAAGTAGCTGGCATTGCAGGTGTGCACCACCATGCTCAGCAATTTTTTTTTTTTTTTTTTTTTTAAGTAGAGACAGGGTTTCACCATGTTGGCTAGGCTGGTCTCGAACTCCTGACCTCAGGTGATCCACCCATCTCAACCTCCCACAGTGCTGGGATGACAGGCATGAGCCACTGCACCTGGCCTATTCAAACTCTTTTCCTGGCCGAAGTAGATGATCTTGAAGCTACTGAAGCTTCAGCTTCTGGGTCTCTCACACATTACACATTCCTTCCAGAGCCCCAGTTTTGCATTTTACTTTGTATTTTCTTCTTTCTTTTTAGAGATGGGGTGTTATTATGTTGCCCAGGCTGGCCCTGAATTCCTGGGATCAAAAGACTCTGTTGCCTCAGCCTCCTGAGTAGCTAGGAATACAGGCAGCACCATTACATCTGACTTCTATTCTTTTTCTGAGAAAGACCCTCCACGCCTCCCCACTCCAACTCCCGCTACTTCCTTCCATTGTATCAGGTTCAGATCTGCTAATGTGACCAGCTGCCCAAGTTTGCCTGGGACTGAGGGGTTTCCAGGAATGCAGGACTTTCAATGCTAACACCAGCAAAGCCTTGGGTAACCTGGTATTTGGCAGTCACCCTAGATACAACCCTGTCCTCAAAAGTCTCCTAGGGACCTGGGGAAAAAGCAGCTCTTTATGGTGGTTCGGAGCATGGACCCTGATCTTGACTTTGCTGTGTGGATGGTCTTGGTTTGTCAAGGCTCAGAAGGGTTCATCTGCCATGAGACATGGGACTTGGCCCTCACCTACAGAGCCTGGGTGGCCTCAGGCCCACCAGTCACCCCGTCCTCCAAACGCCCATCACCCCTGAAGGGTGGTGAGCTCCCTGTCTCCTGGGGCCTCCCTGCCATGGTACCTGCAGTGCAGTACCACACAGTGTCATCTTAAAGTCAGTTTCTGACAGCTCTTCCTCTGGTGGATTTATGGCAGCTGCTACAGCTATTGATAAGTGAGAACTCTCTCGTCAGCTGTTAGCCTGGGCATGCATGTGTCTAACTCAGTCTGCCAACACTCTAACTCAGGCTCATGTGCACATCCCTATCTTTGCCTTTATCTGATCTACCTGAGGGTGCCAACCCACAGCCCCTTGCCCACGTGCATAGACACAAATTCACACAGCTGCCCACAAACATACACACGTGTTATAGCCCCATTTGTACACACATACACACATATCCAACAATGTGTGAATCCACTCACATCTTATCTCCACACGTAGATACACCTGCATATCTGCACTGAGAGCAGTTGGGCCAGGTGCCTTCCAGGCTCCATATGGTACTGAGGACGTGGTGAGCAGCAGGTGCCTGCGATTCAGGCTCACTTCCTAACAGTATGAGGAGGGAGCCAGGTCAGGTAGACAGTCGCAACAGGTCCCTAGTGCCCTGCTTCCGCCCCAGCAGTCTAAGGCAAGGAGGGTGCGACCGTTTAGCAGACTGACCTCTGTCCTGGCATGTTAGCATCCTGAGCTGCTCTATGCAGTGTTTCAACAAAGTGATGCTCATGACAGGAAAGTCCTGGAAAGGCAGAGTTTGGTACTGAGCCTGACGGCATAGGGTCAGGGGATCTGAGTCAGTCTGGATGTGTCAACTGTATACTGGATATGCCCTCTCTGGAGTTAGTAGCTCAGCTGTGGGCTCACTGAGCCCACTGCTGTGGGGAAGGACTCCCAATTTCCAGCCAGGTAGGTGGGTATCCAGGCCCACCTACTGTGACGTGTTTCTCCTGCCCTCTTGCTGTACCCAGGCCAGGTGTAGAGTGGCTGCCTCAGTTTCCTCTGACATGAGGATGGGTTCCTTCTCCTATCTGCCTGAGGCCTTGCCTATCTCTTTAACTGAGGGACTCTGTGGTGCCACCTGTTTCCTTGTACCCATCTAATAGTTAGTGGTCCCAGTAACCATTTTGCCCACTGGCCCTGACTCCTGGTTTGTATGGACATTCACACAGGTGGGCAGAGTCTCCTGTAACGCTGACTTTCCCTGTTTCTACCCCACAGTAGTCTCCTTTGCTTTTTCAGCCTGCCACATGGCTGAGCCTGAGTAGACAAACACATCGAAGGATCTCTCTCTTTCCAGATGATTCTTTTTCCCAGCATACCTCTGCCTCCAGGCAGAACTGCTCCCTACTTGAAACCTCAACAGAGCTTTTAAAAGACTTTAGTAGGTCTGACTCAGTGGCTTATACCTGTAATCCCAACACTTTAGGAGACTGAGGTGAGAAGATCACTTGAGCCCAGGAGTTTAAGACCAGCCTGAGCAACATGATGAAAACCTGTCTCTACAAAAAGAAAAGAAAAGAAAAATTAGGTCGGGCATGGTGGCTCACGCCTGTAATCCAAGCACTTTGGAGGCCAAGGTGGATGGATCACCTGAGGTCGGGAATTCAAGACCAGCCTGACCAACATGGTGAAACCTCGCCTTTAAAAAAAAAAAAGTAAAATAAAATAAAATAAAATAAAAAGAAAAGAAAAATTAGCTGGGTATGATGGCATACACCTGTAGTACCAGCTACTCGGGAGGCTGAGGTAGAAGATCGCTTGAGCCTGAGAGGTTGAGGCTGCAGTGAGCCATGGTTGCACCACTGCACTCC